GAAATTTTGGAAATCATCTTGATTTCTTTTCTCTTATATATTTGTAGTTTTACCCCAAATACTGCATATCTTCTAAGTATTTCTTTGTATTTAACTTTATTTTCCTAAAACTATTTTGAGAACTTTTTTTTTAAAATTAACTTTATAGTAATCTGGTGTGTGTGTGTGTGTGTGTGTGTGTGTGTGTGTGTGTGTGTGCTTGATTTTGCTGAACAATGCTTAAAGTCCTTGGTCTAGCAAAAGAAATGGGATGGAGGAAGGGTGGATATGGGAGCAGGGACGAAGATATCTTAATTAAGGGAGCCATTTTAGGGTTGGCAAGAGACTTGACTCTAGAGGGGTTCCCAGGTGTCCAAGGAGATGTCCCCAGCTCGTTCCCTGGGCAGCAGAGGAGAGGGTGCCTGAACTGGCCTTAACCTATAGCCACACTGATGAATATCTTGCATATCACCATAGAATCTTCAGCTGGCGATGGATGGAGAAAGAGACAGAGACCCACACTGGAGCACTGGACTGAGCTCCTAAGGTCCAAATGAGAAGCTAGAGGGAGAACATGAGCAAGGAAGTCAGGACCGTGAGATGTGCATCCACCCACTTAGACCATGGGACTGATCTAATGGGAGCTCACCAAGGCCAGCTGGACATGTGATCAAACGGTGGTGTGGGAGAATTGTCTGTATTCTGTCAATCATATTTTAATAAAACGCTGACTGGCCAGGCAGACAGTATAGGCGGGAAAGCCAGACAGGAAGTAGAGGTGGAGCAAAGAGACTGGGAGTATTCTGGAAAGCAGGAAGCTTCCTCGGCAGTTCTGCCCAGACCACCAGAGAGGAAAGAGGTAAGCTGCCCCGCTGGAAAAGGTACTGAGCCATGTGCTAATGTAGATAAGGATAATGGGGTAACATAAGTTATAAGAACTAATATGTAGCCTGACCTAATGGGTCAATCAGATTTATAACTTATAGAGATCTCTGTGTGATTGATTTTCCTTGGGAGTTGCCGGTTGTGGGGTACCAGGCAGGACAGAAACCCCAACAAGCCGGCCCTCATATTACAAAACGGGACTCTCTGAATGTGGCTGACAATGAGGGCGAACTGAGAAGTCAAGGACAATGGCACTGGGTTTTGATTCTACTGCATGGACTGACTTTGTGGGAGCCTGGTCTGTTTGGATGCACACTTTCCTAGACCTGCATGGAGGGGGGAGGGCCTTGGACTTCCCACGGGGCACGGAACCCTGACTGCTCTTATGACTGGAGAGGGAGGGAAAGGAGAGTGGGGAAGAGTGGGAGGGAAATGGGAGGAGGGGAGGAGGTGGAAATTTTTAATAAATTAATAAATAATAAAAAACATCTTAATTCTTTCAGGGTTCTAACACAAGTGTTAGAGATGTGCCCTTGATTGCAACTTTGACTTAGAAGCAGCTTTATTGTTCCATGCTGTCACTGCTGCGCTGTCTCCATGTTCCATGAACATTACTTGATGATGGGTCACTTTCTTTGCACTCATCTTCTTATGCCTTACCTGCTGTTCTTGATAGGAGCCCATTTCTACTTTCAAGCACTGTTTTGACATCTTCTAGCTCACCAACACAAATTCAATAGATGGATTTTTTTCAGTAGACAGTCTTTTCTCAGTAGATGAATGTTTTTTCAGTAGATATACATTTTTCTTTTCTGCATCACCACTAGAGTCAATTTTACCAAATGTTTGCCACTACATTACCCACATTATCGTTCTTGACTTTATTTAGCAATTTCCCCATCCTCTTGCCAGTTGCCCAAATCATTGCCACATATTTTAAGTTTTAATTATGACAGCTCCAGACTTCTGGGACCAAATTTGTGTTAATCAATTTTTGTTGCATAACAAACAACTACAAAATCTCTGTAACACACAGGAAAAAATCACTCATTTCTTATTCCGACATCTGCGGTTCAGCTGGGGTGTATCTGTTTCCAACCGTGGAGATGAATGCTTTTGCTTCTGTCTGTGTTTGGGCTTGTGACTACTCAACTGAGTTCTTGCTGGAGTTAGCAGTGAGCAGACAGATGCTACCTGGAGGAGGTGCTTTGGAAGTCAAAGCAGTAGAGCTCTAGAATACTTGCTTCAAAGCCGTGCATATTTGATGCCTTGATCACCAATACTTCATGATCAATAGAGAGGATAGGTTTTCTATTTGGAGATCAAGGTTGCAGGGAATGCTGTGCAAGCCATAATGTCATTTTATTTTTTTAATATATCATCAGGATGTCATAGGAAACTGTGAGGTGGAGACTGGGATCTAAGTAGGAAAGAGATATAGCCCAAGGAAAACAAGATTTTGGATTTATCAGATATTAATAAAAATGTGATCTGTCTGAAGTACTTGACCGTATAAAAATATTTAGATACAAGTGGAAATGCGTAAAATTATTGAGAAAAGATAAATGTACCAGGAACCACACATTTTTCAGAACAATAGGTAATTGAATAGAGAGACAGAAGCTAAAGGAAACAGAAGGGCAAATGTTTTAGTCACCATTTAAGTCAAAGATTCTGTAAAATTCTTCATTGTTAGGAAGTGACCTACCACCAGATGTTATCTGAAAATCACAATACTGGCTACAATGGGAAAGAGCTTATAAAAACAATGTTAGCAGTTTTAACATTAGAAAGCATTTGTGAGGGGCTGAAAGGGGGGACACAAGCCTTTAATCTCAGCCCTAAGGAAGTAGAAGCAGAAGAATGGAAATTTTCAAGGTCATCTTAGGCCAAGTAATAGTTCAAGATCAGCCTTGGCTATGGAGAGTTTGTCTCCAAAACCAAGTATCAATATATGACATAATTACAAAGGGTAAGAAGATCGTGTTTCGTAATACATCTACTGATATATGAAGATAGCTTTGCTAGAATGTATTTTAATACTATTTGTTGAGATGGAATTGTATCTGTCCTTTCACTTGATGAGAATAATTTACTGTACTCTACGTAGCTGCAGTCATCTTCTGACAGACTTGAGAACTGCCTGATTTTCTTCAAGGAGGACCTCTGTTGAACAGAAGACGGAATAGAGTAGGAAAGGTAGGATTGGGGAGTCAGTGTTGTTAGAAAAGGATAGCTGATTCTGGAAACATTTTGAGGAGAAATGTGACTGTGACAATGAAAATGCAATCATATCAGAATTGATTTGCTGTATCTGACCTCATTGTATAGCAATCTACCATGAGCTGAATGAAAATTACTTTAAAAAGAGGGTGAGTCCACCATAAAGCACACTGTCAGTCCTCAGAAGGAGCATTTTTTCTCTTTGCTCTCTGCTTCCTCTGGTTCTTAAAGTCATCAGCCTTCCCTACATATCTGATGCTGAGCCCTGAAGTATTCTCTAAATCACCTCATTTTAGCTTCAGGAGAAAAACAGTGTGCTTCTGAATGACATCTTTGTTTTTGCAGTGTTGAGCAACTTGTTTTTTAACCTAGAAGGCAACAGATATTGATATCATTCTTAAGTAACATAAAAAAGACAGTGATAAAAGAAGGAAGAAAACCGCTTCCAGTTGGTCTTTCTCTTTACAATTCAGTCCATATGGTTTATGTGTGATTTTCTAGGGCCTGTTTAATTTATTGCTTAGAAATTTAAAAAGTGAAAGTAGCAATAGTAAGGACAATAATAATAACATCCAAAGGTTTTTCTTTTATTCTCTCTAAAAAGCCAGTAAATTGACTGTAATCATATAGACATATTATTGCAACTTACTCTCAGATACTTCTCAATTTTAGACTTTCAACTAACTTGGAAATTCAGAAGCCAAAACCTTTGATATAACAAAGTGAACAGATGACAAAACAGAGAGTTAGTTGGTACAGAGCCTAGATTTGTCTTTAGCAGAGTGACACATCAGGTTCCTAGAGGCTCAGCCTCCATTCATCATAGACAGCATAAGCCCTTGAAGTGTGCAACAATTTGCAGGCATTTTGTGGATTTTCTTCTTCTTTCTTACCCTGTCGGGCCTGTTTATTTCTTTTCTGCATCTACCTCAGAAATTTAAAGTGCTATAATGTGCTCAGTCAAGATTTATAATGTCACATGGTGAGCTGGCAGAGACCAAAAGAACAAGTGCTTTCCTGAGTTATGATTTTCCTTCACCCCAATTTACTTTCTGTCCCGCACCTGTGCTGATTGGCTAACACCCTTGAGCGCAAATGGCTGGTCACCCATCATGTATAATTCATGCAATCAAAACTTTGCAACTGTGCACAATTTTGAGTCCTGTGTCCTTTGTGTCCAAATGGACTCTATCTAAGCTGTCAAGACTTCCTGAAAATGCACTTGCCCTATGCCCACGAATTAAAGCACTAACAAAGTTGTCCCAATGGTTCTAGAGAGAGCAATTTAATCAGACAGTGCTTTTGATTGGGACTGACTAATAAGTAGTCCTAAGCTTTGTGAGAGATTAAGCAGCAACTAAAACAAACAAAACTGATCCACAAAAGCAGCTCCCTCCACATTAAAATCTTCATATGGCTTACAGGAAAAATATTACAAACTGATTTTCATTGATGGCTTTCTTTTCCAAATAATGAAAGAGTAATGCTTTAGAAAAATGTAGGGGTTGTCATGTAACAGAGTTTCTAAATGCAGCATTAAATTTAATAACTATGTAATTGAATCTAATTCTAATTAATTAAACTACCAAAATGGAAGCATTTGAAGCAACAGGACTTAGAGAGTATGCTATTGCAAATATGCACATGGGTAAAACCAATGGTAATGAGAAAAATTTTCTCATTGTTTTTTATAGATGCATGATTTCCTGATTTAGTATTGCATCCATAATCACATGCCAGTCATAGGAACAGACAATGGAAATATTACAAAATGGTACCTGTTTTCCATGATTCAAGTTTAATTTACTTGACAATTTATTGTTTAATAAGCCAGGTTTCTAATATCAAGCATGACTTCCTTTCTTTAGAGTAGGCCTTAAGTCTAAGTAGACAGCCATTGGTTACCACCAGCATGTGAATGCCATTTTATTTCACCATTGTGATTATTTTGTTGTGGTTTATAGATGTTGTAGTTGAGTAGAACTACTAATTGCTTTCTTCCTTTTGGCAGCTTGCATAGTATTTTCTGGTACCATGGATGCTAGAACCCAAGAAAGAGGATTTTAGATTAGAAACAGCATGCATCAGCCAAGACTTGAGTCCCAAGTGTGAAGTATCTTCAGCAATAGGGGATTAACTTTAAACTCTGAGGGGCCACTGAGCATGACAGGAATAGTTTATATTGTTTGTGAGTCTCTACTTTGATAGATGGTTCAGAAGGTTTCTTGTGCCTGATAAGGGGATTTTTGTTAGTTTGTGGTTTGTATAGTCTATGGTCTAAGGTTCTACATCTTCCTTTAGGATGTGTATTGTGTGTGTGTGGGGGGGTGTATGCATAGACATACACACAAAGAAAACAAAACAATCTTAGCTTGTTGAATTTCTATATTCGCTCACACTCATATTTGTGTGTGTAGCAATAATAATCAAAGAAAAAGATGCTGTTAATTAGAGAGGTGGAAGTAATTGGAGGGAGAAGACTTGTGAGAAACTAGAAGAAAGAAAGGAAAAAGAGGAAAATAAAGTTATTATGTCTTAAATAAAATAAATAAAAATAAAGTGCAGTAAAAGATAAAGTTTAATACATTATCTTGTAATGAAAATGACTCTATATTAAATTCAGAAGAACACAGGAATATTTTCAGGTTAAGTTATATTTAAAAAGGTTATGATCAACTTAATTATAAGGAGCGTATAATTAAAATGTACCATGTGTAAGATATCAAAATAGATGTTTGAAGTTAGATCCTACCGTAAAATAGTGTAAAGGACAAAGACTCTAATGCAAAGCATAGTATGTGAACATCCTATTAAATGAAGAAATACTTGCAAATGTACCTAAGGACAAGTGAAACCATTAAATTTTGCAAGGTGGTCTCTGATTGTTTAATTCATTGCTGATCTTTACTCTATTGATTGAATATCTATTCTTCTCATGGTCCTTAAATTATTATACCATTTCCATGTTTTATATTAGAAAATGCCAATATTTTCTGTAAACGGGTATTTTAACAATAAGTGAGAAAAATGTTTTGACTTTTAGCACATTTCCTTTGACAGAAATGTATTTGATCTGTTTTGATAATAATCTTTTGAGGATGATTACTTTATGAGAAAGTCATTCATGTACTTTTTCCATGTCTACTGGCTCTGGGTAAGGCAGAGCAACTACGAGTATGGAGTCTGCAAGACCTAATACATTGTCATTTAGGGATATTTTTGCCTTAGCAAGGGGAGAGGAGCTAGATTTCTTCATGGTATCAAAATTAAAACAAACAAACAACAAAAAAGCTGCAAATAACTAGTAGGTTAGCACCCCCTTACTATTATATTTGAACAATAAAATAAGAGGCCTAAGGCTTGCAGAGTTGCGTGGATTTCTGTAGTTAATTTTGTGGTTGGGATTAAAATGCTCATAGCTGAAGCTAAATGGATTCTGGATCAGGATGCACTTTACATGGAACACACTTAAAACATTTGGAAGGGAAGTTACAATTGTGATGTGCTCAGTAAAAAAGGTTCCTGGGGTAATAAGAACTTTTCTAGTAAAAAAAAAAAATGTTGGTTTAGCTTAGCAGTATGTACAATGAAATGTCTCTCTGTAATTAGCTCATTCACAGTCAAAAAAATTTTAAAGAACATTTAAGTGTTTGGTGGTGGAGCCTCTTAATAAAGCTGTGAGGTTTTTGCAGCTAAAGCTGAGTCAAGAAGCCTCTCTTAAATGAGCTGTGGCTTTGCTTGCCACCAGGAAACAGAGATACTGGACAAAAGATACCAAGAAGCTATGCTTGACTCTGTTCTTGTCTGTCTAAAAATCGTTTTTTTTTAAAGCTCTCTCAGGCTTTATGTGGAAATTCTTGCCAAATTTTTAGGCACCTTTAAGTAAATGGATACTGTGCCTTTATTTTTAAGGTGTTGTTTATTCAGCACAATGACCTTGTCTTAATTTTCTGCTGTTTCAGCCAACAATTGTGATTGTGCAGCTACAGGCCTGCTTCTCTATCAGCAGTCTGGATGCTCAGGCTGCATCCTGACAGAAATTCTGCTCCCTTAGGCACCAGTTCTATTGCTGCCACTAAAGGTAGCTTTATCTAAATCTATCCTTCCCGTTATAAATAGGGCTCTGACTTAAGACATGTTTAGCATACAGTAAGTATTTAAGTCCATGCAAAAAAAAAATACATCTGCCATTACAGCTATATCAATAATTTTCATGTGAAATGTACATGTTGTTGTAGCTATAGCTTCTCCTTGGTGTTAAATAATTGCCTAAGGAAGTATATTCATATTGGAAGATCTCTTCCTTTAGATGGAGGATTTACATGGCACAATGTGCACAGTTATGTGTTTACTTTAACAGTGCTACCTTGACTGCCATCCCTTGGGACACACGGAAGAATAAGTCCAACTTGAATTAGCCTCAAGGAAAGAATTCAGAATACAATTGGCTACAACTCTATGTACTTTCACCATACACCTATAGACATCCAGTGGATACTGGATAAGAGTAGATGTTCTCACTGGGGAGGTCATCTTGAGACTTTTGATAGAAATTTTCATGGATATTAAATTTCAAATGCATCTCTTCATCCTTGTCTTAAAATTCATCTTCACATTACGTTGTCTTCTCCTGTAAATTGTATGTTTTTTAATACATCAATCCATTTTCCCAGGCATTAGTAGGTTGTATAGTAATTCCTTAAGTATCTTCTATCTTCTTACCAGTCAGTCAAGTACCAATTTTTCCTCAGGTCTCACTCCAGAATTAAGAAGCAGAAGAAAGGCGTAGAAACAGCTCTGGATACACTGGATCCAGTATTCATTGAGGACTTTGTAGCATCATTAGATGGTAGATTTGAACCAGTCTCTTCTCTCCCATCCGAACTGACTAATAGATCTGCAGAATGAAGGAATTCTGAAAAGCATCTTGCTCAGGTATGGGGTCTATATAAACATGACTACTGCATGTGTTGGTATCTCCTAATTCCTGAGCGGTAGGATTCCAATGTAATTTGAGTTAGAGAGCTAGGAAATTTATACATGGACTTTCATTCTTACCTAAATATTTTGGAATTTGGGAAATTAATCATTGGGACTGAAATGAGATGTGTAAATAAATTTCTGTTGCTGACTTGTTCTATTCTGGAACAGCTAAGAATTAGGCTTATTGTAGACATAAGAAAGTTATAGTGACAAAAGAAAACTATATTTGTGAGAACAGAAAGTCTCCCACGTGAATCATAGATTTACTTTAAAGTGAAAAACCTGATAATGCCACCCCAATTACTTTTATAGACAACCTAGAAGTCAATCACATGATCATAAACATTGTTTAAAGCCCAACTCAGTACATTCAGCATAAAGTTGAATTATGTTTGTTTTCTTAATATGAGAGGAGAAACATGAAATGTTTCTAAACTGTTCCTATATCAAACACATGGTGCTGTATTAACCATGGTTCTCCAGAGTAACAAGGCTAATGGAAAGAATGGCTATATTATATATGTG